ATATATATATATATATATATATATATATATATATACCTGAATATGTGTATTATGTAAATGTAAACATTGAGCATAAATACAAATACACATTCAAAGATAAATATAAATATAAATGTAAGTATAAATATGGGCAGAAATACAAAATGTAAACCTAAACCTAAGCCTAAATCTAAATCTAAATCTAAATATAAGTATAGATATAGATATAATTATAGATATAAGTATAAATATAAGTACAAATATAAATGTAGATATAAAAATTAATGTGAATATAAATATAAATGTAAATATAAGTGTAAATATGAATATAAATATAAATGAACAAATAAATGAATGAGTGTATATTTATTCATTTATTTGTTGACTTGTTTATCTATTTATCGTATAAAAACAAATAAATATATGTTTATATATGTTTACATTCATACTTATATAAGTATAAAAATGTATTAATAAAAATACATAGGTAAGTATAAATGTAAACATAAATATATATATTTATATTGTATACATAAATATATATTTGTACATATAAATATATACAAACATATATAAATATATATACAAATATATATATGTATTTATGTATTTCTAGTTTTATATGTGTACATATATTCACGAATATATATATGTATACATATATAAGTGTAAGTAAATATATATATTTTTTACATTTTTATTTGTATATGTGTACATATATTTATATATATATATATATAAAAATTATAAATAGATAAATAAATTTATTTATTTATTTATTTATGTCTATATTCATATTTAAATTTATATTTAAATAAATGAAGATATATATCTTATATATATCTTTATATGTTTGAATATAAATTCAAATATAAACGCAAACATACATAAATAAATAAATAAATTTATTTATGTCAATTTTTATATTTGGATATATATTTAAATTATTAAAAATTTATATTTAAATATATATATGTATGCTTGGCACAAGACAGCGACCATTTTGCAAAAAAGCTGTCGTGAGTTTTGTTGTTGAGAACATTTTGAACACGTCGGGTTCATTAAAAACACAACCTCAGAAAGACTGCAAACTACTGGAGAGAAAACTGTAGTGCTTGTGATTTGCCGACAGCAATTGCTTTTAATTGAGCAATTTCCATTTCTTCAATAAGTGATCTCACTTTTTCTAACGCCTGATTTACCGTTTGCTTTCGATTTTCAAGCACAAAACGCCCAGCGCTTTTCCATTTGCTCTGCGCCTTCCACACATTTTCATCTGGGCTGAGGACACGACACGTTGTACGGCTCAAGCTGGAGGGAACTGTAAAACGTTTGCAAAATCAAATTATAAAATGGGTAGTCGCTGGTATTGGTTTAAGAATTAAAAAGTTAAAAGCGTAAAACCTACGACAAATTTTTTTGGTGCCGAATCTGCCGCTATCTGCAGTTTCCTCAACAAGAACGTAATCATTGTAATTTAGGTCAGCTGAGGAAGTTTTCAGAAAGACCTGAAACGGATAAGGATCAAGCCTACGTCCTTCCTTCTTGCCACGCCATTCTTTCAGCTTCTTTTTTCCACTTTATTATGAGCACATTACTATGTAGTTCAGCTTATAAACATAAGATTTCGTTTTTAGACCATTTGTTTCCAAACTATTTCCCGTATTTAGATTTGTGCAGCGATCACAATTTTCCCATTTGCAGGTTGTAAACCACCATGAACAGTGTCAGGGCGTGAAGCCAATACAAAACTCAAAATTTTTAGCCCTCCAAAATTTTTTTATCTGATCTGTTTGCACGGACTACAGTTAAAGTTTTGATGTTCGGCCGTGAAGTGAGGTAAACTTTAGTATCAGAAGTTACCTCATAAGGGTAATTTTTTTTCACAGTCAGTTCTCTTCACTATGAGAAGTATTCATTTGTAATGCGGGTGAAGTAAATGCGAACCACAAATAAAAGCGAGCGGCTCTGTATGCAGTGAATTCTTTAGGCTTTCTGTGTTCCGCTACTGTATCAGTTCTAAAGCTCCCTCATATTTGTTAACCCTGATGTTTACAAGTTTTAGCGATCTCAGAAAAAAGAAGTACTATTACAACCAAAAATGGATTTTTTTTCACTTAAGGAGAAGAAATCACATAGATTACGTACAGAAAACAACAATCTTTCATAGAACAATAAACAGTTAATACTACACAGTTTGTGGATTCTGCAAGAAAAATGTGCGCACACGACTCTCGTTACAAAATTACCGAATTGGTGCCTCACATGAGCTTCTGTCTTAATCAAAAATGCGCTGACAACTTGAACGACGGTAATTAATAAAATTATTCGTATTGTTTTTGTCACTAACCTGATGAATTATGTCAGCAGCAGTGCTCGAGGTGCACGCACGAATAATTGCATACGGCTGATCAGCGCTAACATTATGGATACAAACCAAAAATGTTTCGCCCATAGATCGAGCACGAGGATGTATCCCGCCTGCTTAAGACGTTTTAAATCAACAAAATAGCAGCGAACAGCAGTAAAAAATTTTTGATTTAGCCAAGAATAGAAATCCTTGCTAAAAAGTTACCTACTTTTTGTAAAATCAAGAGTGCTTAATCTGTTTTAATAAAAATTACCAGGTGCTCCTAAAGTCTCATTGCTTTTTTCTAACTCTGAAATTTCATAAATTTGTGTCGAAGAGTGCGATTTGAAATGAGCTCCAGTTTCGTAAGTCATTAACTCATGATGTGATGCACTAGCGTTAGTGGTCAACGGTGACTGACCGCTGCCACTTTTTATCAGTGACGAAATCCATGCCTTGCTTCCAGGGTCCTTAATTCAATTGTGAGGATGACACCATAGATATAGTCATCATCAGATAAAGTGATCAAAAAAATATAAGTGGCTCACAGCATTTTTTTTCCTAATTATAAACCGCATAGTAAAACCGTTCCAACAAGCCACAGCATCCATGATTGGTTCGTTAGAAGGTAATATTCTTTGGTTTGAATTTTCTGTGCCGTCGGAAATGTCTAATGAGGTACTGGTCCCCGGAGACTTCACCCTTTCCTCAATCAAGACATAATCTTCAGCAGCATCACTGTTCTTCCCACTTTTAACCAGCGCCTAAAAAATGAAGAACAACTTTTAGAAACATTAAAAAAAATAAAGCAAATAGAATTAGATGTACTGCTTCAGTATTAACAGTAAGAATTTGAGCTCACAACTATTTATTGCAAGGTGAAATTACTAGTTGTTAGATATCTGCATATTCTTACCGACTGAATAACTTTTTTCACAGTGCTTGAAGATTCCACTCGTACAATTATTGGAGTGTCATCTGGATAAAATCCAATAATTTTTAATATAAAAATTTGTTTTTTCAATACTGGAATCATTTCCACTTTTGCGGCCTAAAAAAAATTTGTTGAAACAACATATTTGCAAAGAAGAAAGTTTCTGACACTGCCAGATTCTTCTTTTTTTTATTGCTGCGACAGTAATGCTACTCAGCAAGGGTTTTCGATGGTTATTTTTTTTTGCGAAACTGTGAAAAAGAAGTAATCTCGCACAATAAATCCTTATCTTTACCGGATCAGCTTTCAACGTTTGCCATGTTAACTGTTGCTCATAGTTTGAAGGGAAGTCCTGGTTGTCGTCGAACAAATAAATAATTTCCTCCTGTTCAAACTTAGAAAACAGAAACAACATAGACTGGTCTAAAGGATGATTTGCTCCGTCGCGGAGCGGAAGGTGACGATATCCAGGACGTAAACATCTTACTGGTACCACCCGCTGAGCGTAACATCTACAAATGTAGAGCAATAGCCGCATAAGTTAGTTCAAAGCAAAAAAGTAATCTAAACATTTTTGCAATTAAATTGATAACGTCACCTCCCGTTGGATGCATCGCATACTGCAACCCTTAGAAAAGCTAAGTCAACACAGGTAATTCTGAATACAGAAAGAAAATTCCATATCGGATTTACTGCATTTCGATGTTCAGCCTTGCTCTTATATTTCACACTATCACACGGCATCCCTATCACTTCTACTTCAAGATATGGTGAACCAACCGGTTGTTTAGGAAAGACATGTTGACCAGAAATGATCTAAATTAAAAATGTCTATTTAAAACGGCAGAAACTTTTACGGTTGATAATTAATTTTAAATCAAGAAATGTTTTTTTAAACGGTTTTAAAAAGTACGTTTTGGCTTTAAAGAAACTTTGTGACAGCTTACATTGAGCGTTAAGATCATCGCTGAATAACAAGAAGGATCTTTTGAAACAGGATTATAACGTCCATATAAAGGATGTTTCTCATCCCACAAAACGCGTGGTTTCAAAACATAACCACAATTTCCCGTTTGCTCAAACATTGCTGTATTGACAGCCATCGGTACATCAGAAGTTTGAAAATTAAGAGCTACCATTTGAAAACCATAGGCCCAAAACTGGGTAGGGTTAAAGTTCGAAGAATCAATTCGCATTCCGCCAGGATAAGTACGCACAACATGATTACGAGAATATGCCGTGCACTTTGAACGATGTTTTCTAAACAATTTGCATATGACTTTTTAAAAAAGTTGAAAGTTTAGTCATGAATAAGAATGAAATTGAATTTTATAAATCAATGCCTTGTTAACTTCCTAGCAGCATTTTCATTCAATGAAGTCACTTGATAACATGATGCGCTAACGTTTGGCCGAGGACCAGAACTTGGGTCGGTACTTAATTTCTGATTATTTTCTATTTGTCCACCTTTCGTTCTACGTGGAGAAGGAGTGGGCAACAGAGTATTTGCTCGAGTTCTTAGTGTTACTGGGCCTGGTGGACGTGTGGACTCTGCTTCATCTAGTTCTCCTCCAGTGGTTGTAGGCTTCGGGAAACCCTAATTAATCGCTTGTGTTAATTATACGAAAATGAAAAAGAGCGACAAGCAAAAAGAAAAAAGCAGATATGTTTTTGACAAATTTTACCTTGAATTTCACAGCCTGTAAATAAATGACGAGATCTGAAAGTTCCGGTGCTAACGGACCGGCTGCAATGCGTTTACGCTGCACTTGTTTGGGAGCCAAAAACTGTTGGCTACCGGCAGTCGAAGCATCTGATCGATCGAAATTGCTCTAAATGAAGTTATCCTTTTTACTGTAGAGCAGCATTTTGAACAGCGATAAAATGTAAAAACTTCTTAATATAACAAAAATATTCTGGAGCAACGCAGTGAATTTTGTCGTTTACCGGTCAAATCTCATTAAGTTTATTAATACCAGGCCGTTTCTGCCGTCTCTTCTGCTGTCACGATCACTACTCATCGTATCGCCTTTACACTCTTCCGGTTGTTTCATTGTTCGCTTGTCACTATCGGCATTATCTGTGCGGTCTACACATGAAAGAAATAAAATTTTATTAGTTATCAAATCTAGTAATAGTACCGTAACATTAGGTACAATAGAAATTGAGGTTTTCAATGTTTAACGGTCAATAAATAGTGATTGTTATTACCATCCTCTTCATCAGGTTCGTCGTCAAGGAACTCATCAAGGTCATCGTCTTCGCCATCTTCATAAAGGCTGCAAACAGGAGTTTTGGTTGAAACTACCGTAAATGTTATGCCATTTTTCTTCTTAAAACTTTAAAAAGCATCGCAGCAACATTTCGAAATAATTCGAAAACATGTGAAAAGTCATTTAAGCCTGGATTAAAAATAGTAAGAAGTGAAATTTTTTTGTAAGATATGAAAATTTATTTGTTATGTATAGTCTAAGCTTGCTTTTTTTAGTTTTTCACCCTAATTTATACACTTTGAATGTGAAAAAAAAAAACCTTACACGTTACGAACGAATGTTATCTGAGAAACATTATTACCTCTTGTAGGATATGCGTTTGGAAAAATTTTGTTGCCATTTAAATATTATTTTAAATTATGTTGCTTCTCGACCTTATTCTTTTAAAATTTTGTCCTATAAGATTAGTTTTCTAACTGTACACAAAGTATTAAAGCGCCCGGCAAAAAAAGAACCCAACAAAATTCTTAGCAAATCAAAAAACAACTTTTTCATTTTTCTGTCTTTCTTAAGCATTTGTTTTAAAACCCTTGAGTTCTGAATAAACTGAAAAAGCAAAAAAAAGAATTCTTTCAAAATTAATCAGACAATTTTTGATACTTTGGTTATAAATAACAACGGTGTCGCCAAAATTCTGTTGCAAGATGTTAATCAGAGTTTATCATGTTTCTGTCCCACAAAAAATCAGAGTGTGAGTCTCCCATGATATCTTTTTAAACAAAGAATTTCCACTGCAGTTTATCTATGGTTTATACTCTTTAACCGCTAAATTTCTATACTAATTTTTACTGCGAAAAGATTTGATATTAAAAAAAACTGTTTTATAAATGAAGTGTTGAGTACCTTGATTCATAAGACATTTTGCTTTGATCCCGTGGAAAGTCACGAAGTGCATTTCTTGATAAACTTCTTTCTATTAAACCAGTACTTGGCTCAAAAACCATTTTTTTATTTTTAATCAGTATTCTATACTGCAACTGATAAGGAGTTGGTAAATGTGGGTTATCACTGTAATCGGACTCGAACAAAAAGTTCGTCACTAATTTATCACCCAAATAATTCTGAAAATTGTCTCGTTTAATATTAAAGATGAAAAAAATTGATTGCTTGATCGAAACCTTCTCTAATACTGCAAAATTAACACTCAACAATAAAAGTTCTCATTCAGAAACTGTAATTAGTTAGGCTAGGCATCTGAACATCTTACCTGAATCATCTGTGCCATTTTCGCTTGTTGCTGTAATGAACAATGATTTTCTAGCGATAGTATTACTGGAAGACTACTGGTAATAAAAGCACTTTTTTTGATGACATCTAAAACTTGTCTTAAAAATATTTTTGAGGTCAGTGTATGCCCGTGAAAAATTTGTGGAAAACCGTCATCGCCATCCCAGCAGTCCAATTCAACACATCTGCACCCGGTCAGAAGAATCTAAGAAGCAAAATTACTAGAAACAGGTTATTAATGTTACGAAATTTAGAAGAGTAAAAATACATACTTGTCGATACATTTCAGGTGAAGACTCTCCTTTGAGTTGATGGGCAGTAAGGTAAGTATTGTGACTTGAAGAAATATAGTAATGACTAAGAGGATGATTAAATGTCTCACACTCAGCCTCAATTTCTTCAGGAACAAAAGCAAAATTTCGAGAATCATTCAAGAAACGCACAAATCCCTCAAAGGTCATCTGCTGTTTGTTACGACAGTAAGCATCTGGTTCGTGTTCCTGTAATCATGCCTCACCATATGCTTTAATCTGTTCTATTATTTGAGTTTAGATTAATTCAAAATGAATTTTAACATAAAACAAAAACTTGACCTTTTTTTTTTAAAATAATATAATACGTAAGCGTGTTACATTAGAAGCTAAATTCACCTAAGGAGTAAGTGATTGTACAGAATTCAGTAATCATACTGCAAAGAATAACCTGAATTAATTTAGTAGCATAGTTTTCATCGATGAGTTCCATTTGATAAGCAGCACAGAACTGCTTCAACATTGTTGGAGTCAGATATGGAGTTTGTTGCATATCCACCATACTTCAAAATGCAAAAAAAGACCGTTACAGACTGTTACTATAACACAATTATCATAATAAACTTTCTCAACTTACCTATTAACACTTGCCATTGCTAATGCCTTGTAAATCTTCTGCTGTTTCTCCGTAAATTTTTGAGCAGCTAGACGATTTCTCGTTAAAACATCTGAAAACAGCCACAACATGTTAAAGAAAGATAACTTTCAACAATCCATTTCAATTATGAAGTAGAACAGCGCAAAGTGATCAACCGTTAGGAATAAAATCATGAAGAGAGCTATTAGGGCAGACACTGGTAGTTGAATCAAGCCTCGACTGTACCCTTGGACTATGTCTTTCTTTTTCCTTCTTCGAAACATGGCTATTTACACCAAACGTCGTAACGCAATCATTAAAAATATCTCTAAAATAGTTCAAAGGTTTAGTGTGAAACTTTCGGTGTAACTATCACCGAATAACGGTATTAAATTGGAAATATCATTGATTCAATTAATGTATTAAGATTTAAATGTCATACTTGATGTCCTTCCTCAATCGCGCACTGAAAAGTCTATACAGTTCGATAAACTCTACAAATGTTAGTGGTCTTTCGTGATATTCTTTTTCCACTTGAGTATTTATAGAAGTAAAACCACTGCTGCTGACAGAACCTGAGTTTGAAATATCGCCTCCTTTAGATCTAAAAAGCAAATTTTTTCTGTATGGCATTGAAACGCATGTAAAGTTATTTTTTAGGAAACAGTTTTATATTAATCACTAGATTATTAAATAAGTAAAATTAAAGTTATGTTATTAATTAACAGTTACGAGAAATGTTAACAAGAAAAGTTAGGATTTGTCTATTAAAACAAGCAGTTATTTTCATGCTTTGTATTACTTCCATGATCTGAGTGAACGGCCGCCTGTCGATCGACCGGTAAACGAGCTGTTAGTAGCAGTTCGAGGTCGAGGAGTGAATAAAAGTTCACTCAAATTGCCAGTATGACTAAAACTACAGTCATTTCCACTTATAAATGCTAATTTTAACTTCTTAAACGATAAACTTGAATTATTATTGTGCAAAACTTTTAGAAATTTCAAAATTTTTATAATTTGTAAAGTTAATCTTTTTAAGTGAAGGAAAAAAGCATGAAATTTTTAATTTGAAGGAGCAAGTTATTCGGTTAAAAAGCGTGAAGAAAGATCTAGTAAGGTCTACTTCCAGGATCTTGTTGAACGAGCACCAAGCGAGCGACCACCATAAGAACTAGCAGTTGGTGAACGAGACCTTGTGGTGCAGATTGAGTCTGCATCGCCGCCTTCTTCACTCCATGCTGCTACAGAACGAGGTTTTAAATAAAGTGCCGGGCTGTTTGGTCCAACAGTACCGCTGTGGCTTGAAGCCTGACTTCTAATCGACATGTTCAACGGCTAAATCAGATTATCAGAAAGAATTTAATGTTAAATTACAAATTTCTGTGGCAAATACCTTGTTGCGCAGTGAAGAAGAAACTGGTTGGGGACTTTGGGACCTACTACAGTCGCGGCTATTACCCCTCATTCGACGGGTTACAGCCATTGTCATTTGCATAAGCCTGCTTTTTGGGCCACTACTGTCTGGAGTTGCTGGTTCTGTTCCCTGCGTTTTTGTTGACATAGTTTCAGCTAAAATTTCATATAAAAACTAATTAAGGTTTAAAATGAAAGAAATTCTTGCATTTAAAACAATGAACGCATAACTTACTTAATTCTCGGTATTTATCAACTTGACCTCCAAATGCTGATAGCGCATCTAATGGCCGTGGACCACCAAGGCCTTTTCCTTCGTTAGTTGAAACACTGACACACGCTTCTGATTCAGAGTAAAGTTGTAGGTAAAGTTTCTTCAACCATAACACTCTTCTATCTGGCTGTTTCAGCTGTTCGCGTAGATGTTTAACTACCTGGAAAAAGTATGTGATATTTTTTATTAAGTTGTTTCTAAACTGTATTTCTCGCAGAACAAATTTATAAAAAATGTAGAATTATTACTCCTGTTAATCCTGAGAGCCAGTAGTGAGCAGTTTCTTGTAATCCTATAAAGTAAAGAAACTCGTTTTCTGATATATGAGAACCATAAGTAATAGCCCAGCAGTATACAGGTACAGCGTTATCTTCAGAACTGTGTTTACGATAAATCGTCTAGAACAGTACAGAAGTTTATAAACTCTACTTATTTCTGTTTTATAAACTAAGCTGCAAAGTTATAAATCCATAAATTGTGTAGTTGTATCGTAAATAAAATTTAAAGATAATCCAAAGTAATGTATCTCTAACTTAAATTAAGTGTAAATTTGTACTTCAACGTCTATGTCGTATGAATCAATCCGTTCTACAGATTTAACAGAAAGAAGGTCTAGAAATCCTTCCTCGAGATTTACGGTCGTTCCGCTAGTTGGCCTGGAAGAGGGAGTCGGTGACGGAGCGCATGAAACGTTATCTTGCGTTTGTACCACTTGCTTGTCATTTGATGGTTTTGTGGAAACAGTCTCCTTTAAAAAATAGTCGCAGTTTTAAGTTACTAGATTCAAAGTTTAGTTCGCTTTTTGTGTGGTCAGTAGAAGTTAAATATCAACTAGATTTCTGATAAGTACGACAAAAAACTGTTTGTATTTCAACAAAGGTTCTTAGCGCAGTTCTATGTCCCTATATGTATTTGGAAGAAAAAAGTAAACCTTATCATGATTGTCACTTGCGTAATGGACTTTATGCCACGACAGAATGCTGCAACTTGCATCAAGTTTCATCATACACAGCACGCTTCTTCCTGATGCTAAATCATGATTGATTACCGTCATACCATGGTGCATTCTCTGTACTGTATCCAAATCAAAAAGGGACGTATCCAGCGGAATTAAAGAGATCCCATGTGCGCCTCCTTTCACCGGTTGAACTGGCTCGTAGCCCTATAACAATAAACAAATAAAGGTTAACTTTATTTGTTTTATTAAGTAGTAACTGTATAGTCAATTAATTAAAATCGTTTAATATTAGGCTTTTTAAGAAAAAGAAAGAAAAAAAAAAGATTGTTAGACCTTAATTTCTATCTGCTCTCCGTTGGCATGGGTCACAACGTAATCATCAACATGTTTCACAATTTTACGGATATGTTTATGGAAGGCACCAATATTTTCTAGTACAACGGCAACTAGTTGAATTTTGTCAGCATTTAGCAGACCTCCTACACCAATTCGAGTTGAGAAATGATCTTCTCCATTGCAATCATTCAAAAACTAAAATAAATTTATTTCAATAAAACATTACTTCTTTTGATTATTAATTAAAAATGAATTTGCAAAGAAACATCCACGTAGAGAAAAAATTGATAAATATCATAAAAATTGTCTACAAAAAGAAAGCGGAAAAACCTCAAGTTTCTCTTTTTTCCTCTCGTGACCCATTATCACAACATTTGGCATATCATTTACAATTGCATACAGATCCCTTAGGAAAATTCCAAAAAAAGGAATAACACGGCATTGGGGCATATTTAAAGCTCTTTGTACAGCTTCTATGTAAATTCCAGATGCGGCGGCTTGATTGCTTGGCAGAAGAATTTCGCATAACTTAAACATCCTTTTTCGTCAATTGAAAGTACAATAAATTACCTGACATAAATGGTCGGCAAAATAAGCTTTATTCTAAAGTAATCTGAATAAACGACGTATTATTACTAATTGTCATTACTACATTAAAAATTGATATTTTTATGTCTGTGTTGCCTTTTACCTGATCAAACCTTTTTTTTTCTTCTCTGGATAACGTTAACCAAAATGGCCGCAACTTTTCACTTTTTAAGCCCATCAATATTTCAACAGCACCGTTAAAGTTACCTTAAAATTAATAACTTTATTACTGGTACTGTTAAACTGCTTCTTACTCCAGCTAAATTATCAACTAGCTCTTAATTTAATCAGACACACATACAGGTACAGTTTTAATTACTAATGAGAAAGGACGCAAAGAGATTACTTACATACAGTAGCAGTTTACTGTTACACTACAAAACATTTATTTAGATCAATAAAGAACGGTTAAAAACCAAAATTTACCTATGTTCCAACATGTATCGACCATTCGTATAATTGATAACAGTGCTGCTTTTCTGTCATCATGATTGGGAGAACTGATAATTATATGTGTTATCCATGAACTTACCTAAAATGATTTTTTCTTGCAGAGATAGAGCTCACATTGATCTCAGTGTGCATCAAATTAGTAGTCAGCGTCAGCATAAAAGGAAAGTTTAGTTTCATTTTAACTGATTCAATACCATTCCTAAATCATGCGATTCTTCGGTTTTTGGTTTAGCGGTAAAAAGTTTGACATTAAATTTGTAAACGATCTTGAGAATGATTACAGTTGAATAAGAAAAAATTAAGAATTTAACAAAAAGATCCAATCAACAAAAGAAAACCTATTACAATGACATATATTTTTTTCTTTATTTGTCTATTTGTAATATCTTATTAAACAAGGTGCTTTTAAAATTCACTTCTTTTTTTACACAGCTGATAAAGATTCTTCAGAAAAAGTAAAACTATTTTTAATCATTCGAGTGAAAAAAATATGTGTTTGTAAACGAAAAAACTGCAACAGATTTGAAAATTGAAAATACACCTTTTAAATTTTTCTTGATTTCCTTAAGTAACTTAACGCATTATTAATATAGTAGAATCTGTTAAATGATAAGCTTAGTGTAAAAAAAATAGAAGAACACTGTATTCAAAGAACACCTCCGAAAGTCGTTTAATCAGATTCTTCACCGGACTAGGATTTTCCATCATTGGTACAGAGGTCAATTCACAGCTTACGTAACGTACAAAGTCCATTGGTTGTATTGAATAAAACAGCTGATATTCTGTTGCAGTAAGCTACAAAAATTCAATTTTGCAGGTAAAAAAAAGAAAAAGAAAGCTGTGAATTAAGAGCACCAGCAAATAATAAACTATCTTATTGAACAATTTTAGAAGAACTACGAAAAAAAAACTGTTGAAAGCAAGAATAGCTTCTTGAATTAACAAAAATATTAGAAAACCTGAAATGCAATTTCTTCGGGAAACTGCAGCATAAATTGTAGCCTTTCAAGTTCCAACCGAAAAATGGTAATCGGTTCATCGTTTACAATAAATCCTTGTGAAGCCGATAGATCAGATGCTCCAGAAGACGCTAAACAGTATGCATAGTTTAAATTCTAAGCAACTTAATGAATGTTGACTTTACCTATTTATTTATTTTACCAAAATGAGTGAAGATACAATAAAATTTTAAAATTTGTAAAGGAAGAAAAGTGTGTAAAAAAATTTCTTTTTTTTGCAAAAAGGTTGCTAAAGAGGTTAAGTTGCAGCAAAAAAAAAAAAACAAAAGAGTATTTGAAACTAAAAGGGAGAAGTAAATAAGTAAAAAAAATAAGAAAAGTACTTGATTTTTAATAATTTGTAAAGATTCTTTGATTGAAGAGAAAATGCATACTGTTTTTTAACTATTGTTGATTGAAAGATTTATTGATGAAACAAAATTTGCTGCTAACTGTCGTCTTATGACAAATAATGGTTAGCAAATTTTTTTGAAAAGTTTAGTAAGTAAGGTTTGAATAATAATTGGATACAACCAGCGACAAAGTAGTTTTATAATTACATTTAAAAATCCCTCTAAAAATGCCTCAAAAACAGATGACGTAATAACCTAAAAGCAGATAACGGCTTTTAATTTGAATATTATATACTTGATTTGACTTGAGTAGAAAAAAAAAAGAAAAAAAGCATGCAATGAAACTAAATTATACTTTACTTTTGAATATATCCAATATCATTAAGTGCTCTCTTT